AAACAATAATAGTGCTTCTCTAAATAGTGCTGAGTTGTATGATCCATCAACAGGAACTTGGACAACGGTTGGTAGTATGAATAATACTCGATATTCACATACAGCATCTGTATTATTAAATGGACAAGTGTTAGTTAATGGCGGACACAATGGTACCTTTTCTGTAAATAGTGCTGAGTTGTATGATCCATCAACAAAAACTTGGAAAGCGACTGGTAGTATGATTAATGCACGAGCTTTTCACAAAGCATCCGTATTAACAAATGGAATAGTGATAGTTACTGGTGGATTTGCTGGTAGTTGTTATTTGAATAGTGCTGAACTTTATAAACCATCAACAGGAACTTGGACAACTGCTGGTAGTATGAATAATGCACGATATCGCCATGAATTATCAGTCTTAAATGGAAACGTGTTAGTTACTGGTGGGTTAAGGAGCGATTTAGCTGGTGATGCATCAATAAATGTTGTTTTGAATAATGTTGAATCATATTCATTATCTTAAACAAATGAACAATTAATAATTTTATGTCTATACATACATGCAATCTAGACTTCAAACACAAATTTGATAAAAAAAACTGTTGGATTTAAATGAAAATGGATGATTTCCTTGGGGTGTGGGTGTGGGATGTGAATAAAGAGAAGATCTACTCATCCATGCCAACACCCACACCCAGTTTCGAACTTGCTTAAGTGTCTCATCAGACGGCGTTGCTCCATTCATCATCATCATAAGACGACAACGCAACTGCAATCAACCCCTAGGATGGGTGTGGGTGTGGGGTGTGGGTGTGGGTGTGGGTAGGTGTGGGTGTGAGTGTGGGTGAGATGAAGGCAAAGCCTACACCCGCGCCCACCCTGAGATATTCACTCTTATCCATCAATTTTAATGAGTATCAGAAAAGCAGAAATCAGAAATTTACTCACACTATACATTTCTAAAATATAACAGATATCAGAAATTTTCTCCTATTATATATTTCTGAAATCCAAAAATACCTAATGTAAGTAGAGTTCTGATTTCTGCTTTTCTAGTACATTTTAGAAATGCAGTGTCAATAAATTTCTCATTTCTGACAACATTTTAAAAATGTATAGTATGAATAAACGTCTGATTTCTGCTAAAAGTATATGATTCGTAAGTCAACTTCTGATTTTCATTCCTCATTTTAGTTCAAATGGAAGTGTCTAAAAGTTTGTATAGTTTTATTTATGGACACATAAAATTGTAAGAATTTTAAAATTTGTAAATTTATGAACATTTTCAAAATTTTCAAGAATTGAAATTTTAAATAATTTTGACAAGTAGACTTCAAAATTTGTACCAATTTGATATTTGCCACTTCATGAAAAAAAAATGCACAGTACACTAGTAAAACGAATAGAAAGAATAAAACTCAGGTGATGATTCATTCTTTCTTTCGAAATCTTATGAAATTTTCGCTTGGTTATCTCCATTTATTTTTATTAATTCTTCATATCAACTTTCTACTAATTTTGCATGTTTCTTTGTTGCGTCTATTGTAATACGAACACGTAATAATTCTCTAAATTCCTGTATTTGTTTGCATTCTTGCAGTGCTAGATTCTAAAGATGTCCGGTTGACCAACAAGAGAAAACGAAGCACTCAGTATTCTGCTTCGAAACTATTTCTTTGTTGATGATCGAGCTCATATCAAGACCTCCTAGGGATAGACATGCACTAGTATTTTATGTTTTTTTTTCCTTTAGAAAAAATGAGAACGTTGAACATTTATCTCTTTAATCTCTTCAATGTGTTTTAGATCGAAAATTCATGAAATATTTTATTGTTTCATAGAAATGGTACTTTATAGTAGAACATAATCGTCACTGAAGGATTCGAAGAGAACGTTCAGTATTAGAATTCCATACAGAATAAGATCTGCCGTCATATAAAACAAGATTCCCATCATTCGGCATGGCTAATTGATATGGACCAACGAAATGTGGTTTGAAACTAGTGTTCGAACACCAGAGCTCATTTTTTGGACGAAATTGGTTTGAAACATAAACAACAAAATTGTCATCACCTTGGATAACAGCGTAGTATGCTTTATTTTCTGAAACTCAATATTCGCCTTCTTTGAGAATAGCTCCAAGTATCAAAGTATCCATATCATGCCTATCAGCGATTCTTATCACCATTTTCAAAACGAGACAAAGATATAGAAACATCGGTGTGTTTGATTGAACGTAAATAATAAAAACTTTTGTAAAGTCTATTAAACAAGGAAATAACGATGAGTACAAATATTCAAACTTAGACGTCTTTTTTTGATTCCATACGAAAGAAACGACTTTATTTTAAGCTCATTTATACTATTGCTTAACAAAATCTAACGTCAAGCACTGAAAAATGATTATCAAGCCAAGATTATCTTGTGTTTATTTTCAATTAATAATTTTATTATTTCGAAGTTTCTTTAAATAGTTGTCAAAACCATTATTCTTCTTTACTATTTAATTACTTAATTGATTGATTATGCTCCTGGATACCATAACCTACCTTCGAAACCAGGTTGTAAATGCTCTAAGCCTTCGATACAAATTCGTAAACAGATAGTTGAGTGGACTTTATACAGAAAAAACAACGACAAGTGCTTTTTCATTTTAATAAATATTTGCCTGTATTTCTAATTGATGCACTGAAAATACAAATAGATCAATATTTAGTCAAATTTGTATAGTCAAAGTAATAGTGTTCGATTGACATACGTATAGATTGCTGTGAAAAGAATACTTCAACATTTCGTACAGTTTCTGAGCAATTTACCGGTCGTCAAAGTCTATTGAACTCAATACAAATGCAAGTTACTCATTCCGTTGCCGTATTTCTTCTTGAAATCAAATATATATGAGCGATTCACTGAACTTCATGACTGCGTTGAGAAAAGCTCGCTAATAGTTGCATTCGAGCTGAATGTTACGCGATGAAGGAAGATTTCTGTGGCTAGACCACAGCTTCTTTACTATTGAGAAGATCAATTAGTCACATGCATATGTTGTTGTAATGTAAATAAGCATTTTAAATGGCAGAGTAAAGGACTCAACATAAAAAAATACAAAAAAGTGATAAGAAATAAAACGAAAAGTCAGCTTAGCCATAAGACGAGAAAATCAGAACACTGAATGACGGGCGATTACAGAAGAATATGTATGGCTGTGTTAAATAAAAGTGAACTCAAAGATCAATAAATAATCATAGCGAGAAAAATGTTTATGTAAATCGTTCTTGTTAAACTTAGACAAAAAAGGAAAATTGAGTGAAGAAAGGTTGATTTATTGGATACGTGGCCTTCCCTATGGATTATCAGTACGGGCCATCTGCTTGCCTTTTTGGATTGCAGCTAGATCAGTTGCTCCTTTGTCACCTGATTTGGTGATCACTTTGCGGATTTCTATCTCCCGCTTACGCACAGCTTCATTAATTTTTTTCTGTTGTTCTTGGATGTGTGCTTCAACCTGTTGAGTGACTGATTTCGTTTCATCTGCGAGTTTTTTCATCATTACAGTCCGTTCTTCATCATTACGAACTGTGAGCATCTCACTAAGACCTGCAAGTCGATCCAATAAATATCGACTTGATACTTCATAGTAGGTGCGGGACATGACATAAATAACATAAGCCGTATGGTGGACACTAGATGCGTCTCCTTTGAGATAGTTAACAAGCTCCTTACGTTTGCTTCTCTCTGCATGAGTTCCCTTTGCTGATGCTTTCAGGAAACTTTTCAATGACCCATCAACCATACTTGTGATTTGGTTCGAAATGTGTGAGTAAAAGCGAACGAAGTGATTCCATTGTTCACGCAGTCGAGAAAGCAATACGAGTGTCTCTTGAAGCATTTCAACAATTTTTTCATAATTAATGGTGGTAAAATTAATACCAACCATTTGGCTACTCAAATGGCGCATTTCGGTGACCAGTGCTAAATGTTCTTGAGCCTGTTTGTCTTAAATACGTTTCATCTCTACCAAATTGGCTTGAGCAAGTCGAGCTTTATATAATTCATTTTTCGATGATTGTGTACTATGAGAATCCTTTGAATTTCCAACTTTCATAATATTGTCTGCTGCAAGCGTGGGATTGGCATATCTAGCTGCTGATAGGAGTGGTTTGAGGTCTTCAGCAATTTGCTGTAATTGCTTTAGGGTGTGGTGGATGTGTGGGTGTGGGTGTGAGTGTGAATGTGGGGTCTGGGTCTGGGTGTGGGTGTGTGGGTGTGGGTGGGTGGGGGTGGGGGTGGATGTGAGGTGGCTGGGTTGGGATGTCTATCATGTCTTAAACGATGCTCACACACACCCACACCCATACCCACACCCGACGTATACAAATGAACAGTGAATAAGTTAATATAGTCATTCAATGTTCAAATAAAATATGCCTGATGATATTGACTCGGTTAGTTGTATATATCCTGATAAAATATGTTGAACATAATTATCATCTGAGAGAAAAAGAAATAGAATAGAATAGTTTCAGGTATTAAATACTATTCTTGTATGCTCCCGTTTCAAAGACCTCTGTTGGTGATAAAATGAAAAATATATTGTGGTATAAGTGCATTTGCGCTCGACATAAAAGTACAAAAGAACATGCAAGTATGTGCATGAAAAACCCATCAGAGTAGAATCCATGAGCATGAACTTTTTAAGAAAAGACGAATGGAAAATGCATTTTTACATTTATTTTATCAAATATGTCAATTAGATTACAAGAATTTTTATTTTAAGTTAATTAAATCTATTTAACTAGACGAAAAGTTAACGAAGTGAAAATGGTTATTAGTTATAACTATGGTTGAAAGTTATAACTCGAGTTGATAGTTATAACTTGGATTGAAAGTTATAACTATAGATGATAGTTATCACTTGAGTTATAACTGTTTTAACTTCCACAGTGGTGTGCGTGTGCATGTGCTGTAGAAGAAGACTAATACCTCACACTTTCATCAACTTGTTAAAGTATAAAGTCCTGCCTGTGAAAAGCACAGAACACTGTCTTTTTCAGATTTATTTCATTTTGAATATGATGAATGAAGTGAACGGCTTGAAAAGTGTTAGTTCCTTGGTTCAGGACGATCAAGTCAATCGAATTTTGTGGGTTGGTTTTTTTGTACTATGTTCTGTAAGAAGATAGGTGTGGGAATATAAGGACGATAAAAATCCCACACCTACATCCTGACCGATGAAAACTGAAAAAAAGATATTCTGAAAATACTGAGACTATCACTCTCTGATGCATCATACATTATTTAGAAAATACGACATTTAATAAGTTCTTCCTTTGCATTATATAAGCTTTTCTTCTAATACCTAGATATTTCTCTTTGATATCTTTTTGTAGAGAATTTCATGGAGCATCCTTTCTTAGGCAAAATCATCACATATTAATAGAGATAGTACACCAGAAAAATACAAATGAAAAATTATCCATTTATTCTGGACTATCCGATCTTATTAAATATTCATTTTTCGAT